TTGTTTCAAAGGCCTAAGCTAGTGAAAAAACTGATTATTTTCCAAATGTAAATAGAACACTGCAGCATTTAAAATGAACAGTTAAATAAGTGTCTGCAACTTGGTGCCAACCAGACAGATGCCACTCAGCTTTTAGGTGCTAATACGAAAAGGGTGTGGGAACTTGTTCGTTAGACAGTAAACACTGTGAAAGTCACAACAGAACCTCCATCTGCACTGCCTGCGAAACTCAGTACCCTCGGGGCACAGACCCGAGATCCCCTTCCCGGTGATGACCCACACCCACTTCCTAAGACTCACTTTCACTAGTTTCCACTAAGAGCTGAGAGTCAAAGGCTTAGAACCATTTTATTTTTTAAGTTTCTATTATTTATTTATTTATTTATTTTTAATCCTCACCTGAGGATATTTTTCTATTGATTTTCAGATAGAGTGGGAGGGAGGGAGAGAGAGAGAAACATCGATGTGAGAGAGACACATGGTCTGGTTGTCTCCTGAATGAGCCCAACCAGGGCCAAGGATGGAAGTGAAATTGAGGTACATGCTCTTGACCAGAATTGAACCCGAGATTCCTTGGTCCACAGACCAATGCTCTAACCGCTGAGCCAAGCTGGCGAAGGCCCATTTTATTTTATTTTATCCTCACCCGAGGACATTTTTCCATTTTTTGTTCAGATAGAGGAGGAGGGAGAGAGAGAGAGAGCGAAACATCGATGTGAAAGGGACACATCGAGTGGCTACCACCGGCACAACCAACCAGGGCCGGGGACAAACTGCAACTGAGGCACATGCCCCTAGCGGGAACCGAACCCGGGTCTCTCTGGACCACAGGCTCTAACCGCTGAGCCAAACCGGCTAGGGCCCATTTTATTTTTTAAAGACTGACATACCGAAATAGGATTATCCACAATGGTGGGAAGCCCTTGGGACCTCTCCCTACGCCGACGTAGTCATCCAGAGTCTAAAGAAAATCCCAAATACACAGACCCATTTATTTATTTATTTTATTTTTTTAATCCTCACCCGAGGACATTTTTCCATTTTTTGTACAGATAGAGTGGGTGGGAGAGAGAGGAAGAGAGAGAGAAACATCGATGTGAAAGGGACACATCGAGTGGCTGCCACCCGCACGACCAACCAGGGCCCGGGACAAACTGCAACCGAAGTACGTGCCCTTAGCGGGAACTGAACCCGGGTCTTTCCGGACCGCAGGCCGACGCTCTAACCGCTGAGCCAAACCGGCCAGGGCCACAGACCCATTTAAAAAGCTCACTTCAGCCCTGGCCGGTGTAGCTCAGTGGGTTGGGCGTGGTGCTCTGCGCCAGGAGGTTGCCAATTCAATTCCTGCTCAGGACGCACGGCCTAGGTTTCGGGTTCAATCTCTGTGCAAGAGGCAGCCTATTGATTTCTCTCTCTTTGATGTTTCTCTCTCCTTCTCCCTTCCTCTTTCTAAAAAAAAAAAAAAATCAATTAGCCCTGGCTGATTTGGCTCAGCGGTTGGAATATCGGCCTGAAGACTGAAGGGTCTCGGGTTCGATTCCTGTCAAGGGCACATACCTGGGTTCAAGGTTTGATTTCTGGCCCCAGTAGGGGTCATGCGGGAGGCAACCAATTGATGTGTCTCTCACATCGATGTTTCTCTCTCTCTCTCTTTCACTCTGTCTGAAAAAGCAATAGAAAAATATCCTTGGGTGAGGAATAAAAAAAGTCAATTAAAAAAGAATCTTAACAAAAAGTCTCACTTCAAAAATTAATGCTCAAGTTGTGGTGCAGGTGGGAACCCAAGGCCCATAGCTCAGGGGCATTTCCCACGACGCTGTTGCACAGGACTTTGGTGTCCAAGGGTGACAGCCCACCCAGGACCCGGTATGAGGAACACAGGTCACGCACCTGTGCTGACTGCTGTTTCCAGAACCTTCTGATCCCTGACCCACTCACACTGCAAGGTGGGACGAGGCCCCCGCCTCGAAGGCGGGGGGGAAGATGCAGCTGACCATGGATGGCCGGCTCTGGCTCTTGGGGACGAACTGCTGACGCCCAAGGACAGACCTCGAGTTCTGCCTTCTTGGTCTGGGCTGCAACTGGGTACCAATTACACTCTCACCGACTCAATGTCTTTCTGTTTGTTGACTCACTCTTGTTTTTACTTAAAGACCGACTGGAGCGTTGTCCTAAGCAGCAGTGCCTCAAAATCACAGGTTCGCGGCGACTAATTATATACGTTTTCTAATACAACACAATTACCAGAGAGATGAAAGCCGTCCGTCAGCGCACCATCTGAAACCACCTCCACACGCCACTGCGCGGGGAGACAGGTTCGGCCAGCGCCTCCTGCCCGCTCACAGACTCACCCGATCGGAGGAAGTACCTCGCCGCGCGCGCGTGGGCCCCTGGGCCTCCCGCTGCTGTGCAGGGCTGTGTTCTCACAAACCGCTCTGCTGTTTTTCTCCCACCAGTCCCCGTGTCCTGCCACAGGTGCTGCCACCCCGGCCCAGACCCCCTCACCGCCAAGACACCAGACGTGGCCGGAGCGGCCGGGAAGCACCTTCTCTCTGAATGGCCTTCAAAGGGGAAACAGCACCGCTGGCCTCTGGCCAGCACGCTGAGCCTCGGAGGACCTGGCTTCGGAGGCCAGAGCGCTCCTGCTCTGTCATTTCCTTGTTCACCTGGCGGCCAAGTTCCATAGGTTTGAAAAGGGACCACACCTTGTCACACGGAAACCCTCACTGCCCGTCTTCTCTGCGTGAACGCAGATGCTCATGAGAGTCCCAGTGTGCGCAGAGCAGGGGTGCCGGGAGCCGGGGGACGCCGGCCATCCTTGTTCTTGGAAAACCCGTGGGCCTATAGTATTTATGTGCATAGAAGAACACAATTTGCGTGGGATTAACCCGTATGTTCATACCGATTGTCTTCAGTGTGGAAGGATCTATGGTTATTTAAAACAAAATGTTTTTAGTTTACCTGTGGTTTGTAATTTTCTACAATGGACAGATGAGATATTGCTTGTATAATTAAAATATAATAGTTGAGAAAATTATTTTTATATCAATATGGAAAAATGTTTACAATAAAATGTTACTTAATAAAAGTGAGATTGTACAGCCCTGGCCAGTTTGGCTCAGCGGTTGGAGCGTCAGCCTGCGGACCAGAGAGTCCCGGGTTCGGTTCTTGCTAGGGGCACGAAGCACAATAAAAAAATAAAAAATAAAAAATAAAAGTGAGATTGTAGCTCTAATAGCAAAATAGATTGTTAGGAAAAATGGTTGTTAGGTACCTGAAACCTATATAATTTTATTAACCGATGTCACCCCAATGAATTCAATTAAAAAATAAATATATGTAGGCTTCTTAGAATTTAGATGCAACTTTAAGGAAGAGCAAGGGATGCTGGGTTGGTTGGAATGACATGTTTTACAGGAGAAGTTCAGATCAGATGTACACCTCGGCCTGTGTTCTAATACTTGCAACTGTTTTCCAAAAATATGTTACTTTTGTACATTTTTAAAAAGCCCGGCCCTGGCCAGTTTGGCTCAGCGGTTAGAGCGTTGGCCTGCGGTCCGCAGAGACCCGGGTTCTGTTCCCGCTAAGGGCACGTACTTCGGTTGCAGTTTGTCCCCGGCTCTGGTTGGTCGTGCGGGTGGCAGCCACTCGATGTGTCCCTTCACATCGATGTTTCTCTCTCTCTCTCCCTTCCTCTCTCTCCCTCCCGCTCTATCTGTACAAAAAATAGAAAAAATGTCCTCAGGTGAGGATAAAAAAAATAAAAAAAAAAAGCCCGGAAGAGAGGGTTCACATCAGCTAGTAAAAGCTGTCTGAAGTCTCTAGCAGCTCAATCATTTTTTCCATGATTTAGGGGGGTGGACCCCTCCTCCCGGGGACAGGGTGAGCCCCAGATGGATTGCAGCCCGGGTGGCAGCTTCAGAACTTGTATTTCCTGGGTGGCTCCTACCCCTGTTGACAGAGTCTTGAAGCTTGTTTGCTTCCTTATTGCCGGGACTTGGCTGCGCCGGGCTTTGTCCTGCGCAGTCACACTCGCATGGGAAAGCGGCTCACCCACCAGGCCTGGTGCCAGGAGTCAGTCATTGCACCCCGATGGGCAGACAACCTGGGGGTACCAATGGTGAGCACACAAGCCACGGCCCTCCCCTATCCAGCCATGCGAGTGGCCACTGGCCCAGGGTGGGTGGTGGGTGTTGACAGCTGGCAGGGAAGAATGTGGCCAGTTCCATCCCCCCCCCTTCCCGCCAAGGCTGGAGGCAACTTGAAGGGGAGCATCTGCCAAGCCTTGGAAGGTGCCGGCAGTGTGGGGAGCAGGGGTGGAGGATGGAGGTGGTTACCCCACTGAGACAGAAATGCCACGTCCCCGACTAGAGGAACAAATTAGATCAACTGGGAAACTTCTGAGGCTCACGCAGTAGGTCCAACTCCATAGCGTCCCAGTTTGCACTCGGAAACATGAATTATTCTGTAATTCTTCAGAACGTGAGCTCTTGGTCAGACGGAGTTGGGCGGGGGCTTGGCCCCAACACAGCAGCTCCCCAGCCTCAGCTGTGCATCTGCGAACGCCTGATGGCACCCCCTCCCCGAGGCAGCCCCTCCCTGACAGCACCCCCTCCTGATGGCACCCCCTCCTGATGGCACCCCCTCCCCAATGGCACCCCCTCCCTGACGGCACCCCCTCCCTGATGGCACCCCGTCCCCAATGGCACCCCCTCCCTGACGGCACCCCCTCCCTGATGGCACCCCCTCCCCGACGGCACCCCCTCCCTGACGGCACCCCCTCCCTGATGGCACCCCCTCCCTAATAGCACTGTCCCCATGGCACCCCCTCCCTGATTGCACCCCCTCCCTGATGGCACTCCCTTCCCTGGCCTTCAGGTCGGAGGATTAAGATGAGGTAATGCAGAAAGAGCTCTTAGCAGAGCGGTGATAAATGTCGGCTCTTATTACCATTGTTGGGGACAGAAAATGTCAGGTGGCTGCTAGGTTTACTTACTTACCAGCAGGGCTGCTTCAGAAAGGACGGTGCTGGAAGGGGGGTTCCCCGAGAGTGAATGCTTTGGGGAGGGGCTCCGCACTGCACCTCGGAGGCTCCGTCTCCTGTCACTCTTTGTCAGGAACTGTCACTGGCTCCCGTGCCTGTGGAATAAAGGCCAAACCCTTAGCTGGCTTTCAAGATGCCTTTCTGGGAGGCCCCAATCTACATGTCTTCTTTTATTTCCCTCATTCCCCTTTAAAATAGGGGAGTGCTTAAGAACATGAGTTCAAATCCCAGCTGTCACTTACTCACAGGGTGACTTGGTGGACCTGACTCACCCTCTTAGTGCCCTGGTTCTCCCATTTGTAAAATGAGGGGCAAACAGTACCTACTTCATTTTCCAGGCCCCGCCGAATGGGAGGCGCCTCCCTGCTTCCTCTCTTCCCCTCTCCTCCCACCCCCCCCCCCCAGTCCCACAGCACTTTCTGTGGACCAACGCCTATTTTTTTTAAATCTTTACTCGAGGATATTTTTCCATTTATCTTCAGATAGAGAGAGAGAGACATCGATGTGAGAGAGACACATTGACTGGTTGCCTCCCGCACGACCCGACCAGGGCTGGGGATGAATCACAACCGAGGTACATGCACTTGATGGGAATCGAACCCGCGACTCTTTGGTCTACAGGCTGACGCGCTAACCGCTGAGGCAAACCGGCCAGGGTGAACCAACTCCTGTTTTATTTGCTCCTGTCTGTCTCAGATCATGGCTATTTATATCCCTCTCCAATCTGTTCTAGCGGGTGGTGAGGTCCCTGGACAGATTCCCTGATGTTTGAGCTTGGAATTTGCACACAGTAGGTGCGCTGTAAGTATGTCTGGCCTTCGGGGCTGAGACAGAGTTAACATTCAGCTGGGGTCCTTGTGCTTTCGAAGGTTGATTATGGCTGGAAATCTTTCTCTCTCTCTAAAAAATCAATAAAAACATATTAAAATCTCATTAATAACTTAATATTGATGACATGTTCAAGTGATGATGTTTTGAATACAGGGGTTACATAAAATATATTATTAAAATTAATGTCACCTGTTTCTTTTTTCTTTTTGCCTTTTTAAAACAATGTGGCTTTTAGAAAGTTCAAAATTGCTTATGTGGGTCAGACTCGGGGCTTGTGTTATATTTCCAGTGAATGGCGCTGTCCTGGAACCACGACCCGCACACAGTAGGCACTTAAATAGGAGTTGAACATCAGAAAGAATACAGCTGCGGCCGAGCAGGTGCTGTTGTCTGCCGGCCACAGAGCAGGGGAGGGAGGCTGCGGCGGGGCCGTTCACACAGCTACATGATCATAATTAGTATCTACTATGCGCTGACAGTAGCAGCCGTTGGCTGAGCACCTACCGTGTGCCAGGAGCTGCCTCTGCACTTTGCCCACGCGGGCTCACTAACCCTCAGCGGGCCGCGGGGCACCACCACCACTGCCGCTGCCCCGCCCCCCGCTGGCGAGAGGAGAGGTAGCTTGCACAGGGGCTGCCCACGCCTCCCGGGTGCACCTGCCACCCCAGGGACCAGGCCCCAGGTGCTGTCTTGCCACACGGGACTGCCTGGGACGGACAGGGGGCAGGGGCTTCTTGAGCCCACGAGGAGCCCCTGTGAGGAAGCCAGTCCTTGCCGGGAAGGGTCCAGGAAGAGAATAAAATAATTCATAATCTCTGATCAACTCAAGCTCACCCGTCCAGATCCGGCTGGCAGCCTCTCAGGTTCAAGGACTCCGGGAAACCAGCCCGGGCCTGGGTGGTCATTCTTGTTCAAAGCAGTTGTGGCGGATGGCGCTGGGCCCAGCCCGACCCTCGAGAGGGCCTGCCAGGGTTCCTGAAGCTGCAGCGGCTCCAGCTGTCTTTGGGTGTGGCCTTGCCCTCCTCAGTGGCTGCAGGCCTGGGCCCACCCAGGACCCCCAGTCTGGGGCTCGGATCTGCTGGAGCAGGGCCCCCTGTGGTATCTAAGGTAGGGCCTCTGTTGTAAGAGCCACGGACCAGAACCTGTTGGGATGGGGAGGAAGTTTGTAGCACATGGACAGAACATTCTGCCCGTTGTCTGTGACCTGCGGCTTTGAGCTTGAGGAAACTGCTTGGTTCTGGTCAAAGAGACAGTTAGCTGAAGAAGCCCAGAGGACCTGATTCCCCCGGCAACGCTTGGTGTCTGAGGTCAGGTGGAATAAAGATCTGGCTGTCACCCTGGCCGGTCTGGCTCAGTGGTTGGGGTGTTGGCCTGTGGACCAAAGAGTCCTGGGTTCAGTTCCGGTCAAGGGCATGTACCTCAGTTGCAATTTGGTCCCCGGCCCTGGTCAGGTTGTGCAGGAGGCAGCCAATCAATTTGTCTTTCTCACATCGATGTTCCCCCCCAACCCCCGCCACTCTATCTGAAGATAAATGGAAAAATATCCTCGGTGAGGATTATAAAAAAGAGACCTGGCTGTCTCAGGGCCTCCGAGCCCCTGCCCGGTGTAGCCAGTGGTCAAGCGCACACCGTGTAGCTGGAGCCGTGGTTCTCAAAGCCTGGGCCCGCGGCAGCAGGGTCCCCGGGGGCTGGTGGGAGAGGCGCATCCTCAGGTCCAGCCCCAGGCCTCCTGAGTCAGAAACTCCGGGTTTGAACAGCCACCTGCATCCTCGGAGACCCTGGGCCGCCTGAAGGTCAGGAACCAGGCCGACAGCCTCACCACTCCACTACGAGGCCCAGACCAGCATCGCCCCGCAGCTGGCTGGAGACACGGAGGACATCCAGGCCACCTGGACACCTGAGTCGGAACCCGGACCCGAAGCACGTGCGTTCGAGTTTGGGGTGTGCTGGGCTAGACCTTACCATCGCGCCAGGGCTCTCGGGCTCCGGTGCTCCGGGGCCACGGAGGTGATGTTAGATAATGAAGCCCAGCCAGGGCCAGCAGATGGCTGCCATCTGGGAAAGCGGGCTCAGGATGGCCAGATTGTCCAGGTTTTCAAGAGAATCTGAACTCAGATGCCAAAGTGAAGTTTCCCAACTTAAAAACAACTGTGTGGGTCACGCAAAACAAGGCCCAAGGGGGCCAGCCGGCACCCTGCCCACAGGCTTTGGGGTGGAAAAGGTGCCTAAACTCAGCAACCTTTCTGAGCTTGCGACAAGAGGCACACCTGGGGCCTGGGACAGAGGTCCCCCAACTCAGCAGAACAGTGCCTCTGAGCCTGGCCCAGCCCCCAGGCAGTCTGACTTACTTGGTCTGGGGCAGCATCTGAGCATCAACCTTTTAAAAAATATATATTTTTATTGATTGTTAGAGTGAGAGGGAGGGAGAAACATCGATGTGAGGGCGCAACACCGATCGGCCGCCTTGGGCACGGCCTCACGGGGGGCCAACCCGCACCCTGGGCCTGTGCCCTGCCTAGGAATTGAACCTGTGCCTCTTGGTGCCGATGCCCAACCACTGAGCCACACCGGCCAGGGCTGAGCATCAAGCTTTAACTAAGTTGCTGGTCATTCGAACACGCAGCAGAGTTCGGGAACCACGTGCTCAGCAGGTCAGCTGACTTTTTGGTGACGGCCCGAGGGTAAGAGTGTCGACATTGTGGACCACGCGTCGCCACCGGAGTCCACGAGCTGCCACCGGGGTAGGAACTGGCGGAGCGGGGTTGCGTTTCCGGGGCACTTTGTGTAGGAACACTGGATTTTGAACTTCATGTCATTTACATGTGGCATAGAATATTATTCTTCCCTTGTACTTTACCAAGCACGGAAAACCATTCTCAGCTCACAGGCTGCACAGAGATGGGTGGTGGGCTGAACCTGGCCTTGGGCTGTAGGCTGCTGACCTTGGGCCTAGACGAGCGAATTGAGGGCATGGCGGCTGGACTCCAGTCTTTTCCTTCCGGCATTTGTACGCAGTCTCCCCACACAACCCCCGGAACCTGAGCAGCGCCTGACTGTAAAAAAGTGATGTTGACAAGTCCCGATCAAGTACTGGCTTGATCTGGCTCTGGGCCAGGCTTCAGGTGTGGCCCCAATCCTTCGTCGCCTTGGTGAGATTTCAGGGAGCTGCCTTCCTAAGGGCCACTCTGAGCCCCTCCACAGCCGGTGATGTCGTTGACACTGCACGTGCAGTGACCGTGGAACTACTTGGCAGACACTGTGCTTTCCCTGCAACATTGTTTCCTCCTCACGGTGACTCCACCAGAGGACTGGGATGCACCTTGTGCATTATCATGCACCCACTTCTTAGATGAGGAAGCTGAGGCACAGGGAGGTCAGCTATGTGCCCAAAGTCACACGGTGAGAGCAGTCGAGCAGACTTGAACCCACGTCTGTGCTCCAGGGCCGGCTCTTATAACCACTTTGCATACTGTCTCTCAATCTATGTCAAGGACAATCCGGCATCCATCCCTATCACTGGCCACTGCAACGGCACAACCTTCTCAAGGACAAGCCTTGGGCCACAAGGTTCTCTGTGTCTTGACCGGCATCCAGACACTGCTCTCTCTGCCTTGAACTGTGGCCAGACCTGGGCACCAGGGGGAGGAGGCTCGCTGGGCTGCCCGCGCGGCTGTGCAGAGTGCACTGCACCCCCCGGGACCACTCACCGGGGAGTCTGCGTGAACGACGGCCTGGGTCTGTGGAGCACACGACTCACACCGCTGTTCCCGGCAACCCTGGGGACCGGAGGTGAGATGCTCAGGGCTGCCTGGTAGGATTGCCTTTGAGTGCCCACCATTACTGCTGTTCAGAAACATATCAGCAAAATGGGGAAGAGCTCAGAAGGAAATGGCACCATGGATGGTGGGGTCTGGGCCGGCAGCTGTGGAGAACTTTGGGTCTGGAGCAGGGAGTGGCTGGCTCTTGCTGAACCTCCTCCAGCGTGGACAAGGACACTGGTCTCTGCTCTCTCCCAGACTGCACAGGTCACAGCTCCAGCTCTGCATTCTCAGCCCTGTTCTGGGCGAGAGCTGCCCTCCTCAACCCTCCACAGCCTGCTTCTTAGGAAGAAAGAAGGGCCCTTGAGCAGTCTCTGTAGTCGGTGCCAAGATGCTCTGTGCTGGCTCTCAGGGCTGTTCTCACTCTGGCTGGGCAGCACCTGCTCCTCAACACTCAGAGCTGCTGGGAGCTCCCACCCAAATGCCCCAGCTCTCCCCTTACTGCG